TCCCACTGTCGTGTATCGTCAGAGTCGCGTCACCTGTCCGTTTGACGTCGTCAGCTATTTATCATCATCAAGTCAAAGTCTGTTGCTATTGTTGTTGGTCCGATCGTGATTCGCCATGACAACTGCCAAAACTGATCCACGAACCTTCCACCGCATATTACCTTCATCCATTCGAACATGCGGGTAACTCCTTGAAAAAATACATTCTTCAGTACGATAATTCTGATATTTAGGAGAAAGCTATTCGGAATGCGTTAAGAGGACGTGGTAAAGCTGATTTTCTCACACCCAATGGGGTTCATAAACCTACGGATCTACATGAATTAAATGCGTGGAATCCAAATCACCAAATTATAGGCAGTTGGATATTTGATATCGTTGATGAAACTATTCCGCCTAACATTGTTTCTCACACTATTGCTTATGAGTTGTGTAATGATTTAAAGAAACGTTATGGTTGTTCTAACGGCCCAATAATTTATAAGTTGACGGTGGAATTGAACACTTTGCGTCAAAAAGAGCAAAGTGTGATCGTGTACTATAACTTGTTCATCACTTAATGGAACTAGCTTCATGGTTTAACCGATCACACAGGTGGTTGGCCGTGTCTAGCAGCCAAGGTTACCCCTTCTCAGTTTGAGCAAAATAAAACCATTGATTTTTTGTTGGGATTGGGTGATGAACAATTTGGAGGTATTCAGTCTCAATTAATTGCTACATAACTTGTGCTTGAATTGGATAATTTTTTTCATCTCGCATCACAAGAAGAGAGTCACAAGACCATCGTGCATGGTCGTGACAATCAAACAGAAGTTGTCGCTTATGCCGCGAGACCGCCACTCCTGCTGGGCGTTTGCATTGTTCTTATTGTGGTCGTAATAATCAAAATGTTGAAACATATTTTTAAATCATTGGCATTCTGGAAAACATATTTTTCATTCAATTCGATCAAGTTACTCAAGCTCATGGGTCTTCTTTCGATCTGGTTGTGCTCTTTCACCAATATTTGGGTCACCCATCTCCAGCTATTACTACCTTTTTCAATATGATTAATGTAGTTCTTCTGTTAAGAAACTACATACTTGTGAGATTTGTTTTATGTCCAAACAAACTTGTACATCTTTTCCTTTTAGCACAAATCAAGCTGAATCTATATTCGATTTAATTCGTTGTGATGTATGGGGGCCTTATTCTCCTTGTTTGTCTTTTGGTGGTGTTAAGGAATGTAGTAGGGTTTGTCGTTACGATCTCATTCTTGTTGGGCCCGTAATTAGGTCATGCTCTTGTAGCTATTATAAATAGCGGATCTATGTGTAATCAAATCATTCAAGTTTAGTTCTAATTATATTTCTACATGGTATCGGAGCCAAACCATGAGAGCATATCGTAGTCTGTTTTTGTCGTGCTTCCGCTGCCACCGTCGCCGGTTGGGCGACAGCGGCATCATCATCGGCATCACCATCTAATTTCTTTATTAATTGTTGTAGCGATTTGTTAGTCTCAAATTTGGTCTGTAACTTCCAACCACAAATCGGGTTGGCCACTGCAATTGTCTCGTGAATGAAGTTCCTCTCAAAGTTAATCTAGTGGCATGAAGTTCCTCTCAAAGTTGGTTACTAGTTCTATCAGATTTATGGATTGATTTGTTCGTGCTCCACGGAAGAAGATTTTCATGTTTGGACCAAGCCATTTTGTTGACGTTTTGATGACATAATTTTTGGTTGCCTTAGCTTTTTGCTATGTTTAGTCACAACCAGTTATATGTTCGGCATATTTGTTTGTGAGGTTGGTCGCATAGTCGCGCCTCAGTTCGACATATTTGTTTGTGAGGTTGGTCGCGCCTCAGTCCGGCAACACGGCCTCCAAGTTTGGGATGCTTGTTAGTCGTCCCCGTGTCACCACGTGGGAGTCATTCGTCATCAAAATTTACTGTTCATTTGTAGGGCCGATCACCTTTGTTTGTTGCTGTCACAACAGATCAAGTTCAAGTTGTTTATCAAGTTTTTTTAGTCCTTGTTTTTTTAATTGTCCAAGTAGTGCATTCGTTAACCTCGTGCTCAACTTGAGGGGGAATGTTAAGGAATGTAGTAGGGTTTGTCGTTAACAGGCTCATTCTTGTTGGGCCCGTAATTAGGTCATGGTCTTGTAGCTATTATAAATAGCGGATCTATGTGTAATCAAATCATTAAAGTTTAGTTCTAATTATATTTCTACAGGTGGACATTACTTTATTATAATTATTGATGATCATTCTAGAGTTATTTGGATTTATCTTATAAATGAAAAAAGTGAAGTCAGTTCATGTCTCAAAACATTCTTTTCTATGACTCAAACTTAGAATAACTAAATCATCAAAATTGTTCGTTCTGAAAATGGTACAGAGTTTATAAACACTACTCTATGCCAATATTACAATGACATCGGCGTATGTATTCAAAGTTCCTGTGTAGGTACCCCACAACAAAATGGGCAGGTTGAACGTAAACATCATCATATTCTGAATGTCACCCGTTCACTTATGTTTCAAGCCTCCCTTCTCATTGATTTCTAGGCGAATGCATCAAATCAATTATTTATCTCATAAGTCGTACCCCTCGAAACTATTAGGAGGATAGTTTCCTTTAGAGATTTTATCTTCGAACCCTTAAAATCTAAGCCATCTCCATGTTCTTTGTTACTTGTGTTATGTTCGTCGTGTCCCTAAACCTCAAAACAAATTTGCACCCTGCAGTCTCAAATGCATATTTCTGGGTTATCTGTTTGGTACAAAGGGATGACGATTGTATGAGTTTGAAAATCATTGCTTCTTTCATTCACATGACACTTCATTTGTTGAGTCCGAGTTTAAGTTTGTTATTCCCAAATCACCACGGTGTTTCAGCCAGTGCGTCATCCTTCACGTGTTGATGTCTCGCTGCCAACCTTCGTTTAGCTGCCAAAGCCCGTTCCGCTACCAACACCCGTCCCGCCACCACCTCCCGTCATTCCGTCCTCGGTTCACCATATTGATATTGACTGTCACATTATTCATGAGTGTCTTGAACGTCAGCATATCATCACTGCCGAATATGGGTACTCTTAATCCCCATGCTCGAGGCTAGGGGAAGAAATAAAGTTATGACAATGTTAAAAGAGAAATTTACGTAAATAGCACTAAAACATAATGACTTTTTCTAAATAGCACTGCATGTACTTTTTTTCCCAATGTAGCACTTTTAGTCATTATGCATTAGTCATTATTTAAGTAAATGTTTGTCATCACTGGTCATTATGGACATTATTAAGTGCTATTTAGGGAATAAAACAATTTAGGTGCTATTTAGGTAAATGACTTAAGTTTTAGTGCTATTTAGTACAAATATTTCATGTTAAAAATATACTTATTTGTTATCTTTTCTTCTAAAATAAAGAGGTGTTTATATTTGTATTCAAAGTGAACCTTTGAATATATAAAATAGTTTTTATCAACAACAAAAACACATTTGGATCCCAAAAACATAGGGTCTGAGGAGGGCGTGTGCGCAAACTTTGTCCCTACTCGAAAGTAGAGAGGTTGAAAGAAAAAGGCTTAAAGTCACCTTCGACGGTTTTTACCTTGGTCCTTGCCCTACTGTCCATATCCTTTTTTGCGCGGGCATGTGCGATGAAAACTGCTTTAGACTCTTGACACCTCCACAAAAACACTATTGGCACCCTATCGTATGTCTTCTCAAGGTCAATAAACACCATATGACAATCTTTCTTCCTAGCCCTATACTCTTCGACACTCCTACAAAAAAGGCAGAAACACCGCCTTAATTGCATCGCCCATTTAAACAACCGATGCAAAAGATCAAAAGCATAAATTATCTTAAAAATGCGATGCAATTGATAATTATTAAATGAAATCTGAAAAACTAAAATATCTATTAGCATCGGTTATTTCTAGATAACCAATGCCATTGATCAATGGCATCAATTATTTAAAAAAACCGATGCTAATACATATTTAAATTTTTTGAATTTTTTTAAAAAATGAAACAAAGGCATCAGTTGTTTATTACAACCGATGCCAATAGGCATTTCAAATTTTCGAGTTTTTTTAAAAATAAAAACGAGGTGATCGCCTCTATGGTCGATCTGCCATGTAAGAAACCAAACCAGGGGTAGTTCTTAGAAATGCACACCCCTTTTCGCAACCTTCATTCGCCAGACACCTTAGCCATTAGGAGGACAACATTGAAGAATTTGTTTTACCATATCAAACCACCGCGACCCGCTTTCTTCCGAAACTCCACCGGAATGTCATCCAGTCTCAAAAAAGTTAAACGGCCAACGGTAGGTGGACTACCGGTCAACAGTGTTCCATATCCGGGACCTCACGGTGAAAGTTATACTTATTTATCCAATTAAAATTACTAGTCGAAGTCCTTCAATTAAAAATACTAATGTACTACTAATTAAAAATGATAAGAAATATGAAAGAATTATTTGGGAGGAAATTCTCTGTATATTGAATTGGTTTGTGAAACTGATTCTGAATACAAAGATCTAACCCTCTTTATATAGGAAGAGGGTAAAGTAAACAAGAAAATTTTTATTCCTACTAATATAAGAATTAAACAAACTAGGAAAGATACTAAATACTAAACCTAATCCAACTAGGAAAGATATTAAACCTAATCCCAAAGAGATTCGATTTCCTTCTTCAATCTCGCTCCATTCTTCTGTCTCTAACAAAGTAGGCATACTTACTTGATTTATACTTTAAAATGAACACCAGACAAATTCAATTGATAAAGTAATTAACCTTAAACGAAAATTAACCTAGCTAACTATGTACAGAAGCCAGCATTTGGATTAGTTTCTCATCTTAGTATAATAAATTTGTAAATATATTCCAAATTGACAGAACCTAACATGGTTGGTTAGTGGACGGCGTAAACTCCACCGGACGAACGAACATGACTAACTGGCTGAGTATATATTCACTATATATACACAGTATTATTCAACACTCCTCATCATCTTTTCCCTTACCCCACCCCACTCCCCTTTTTTTTTTTATTAATATTTCTCCCATCTATAGCTATTTCCTCCTCACTCCCCCCCTTTCTTCTTCACTTTCCTACTTAGCTTCATTCACTTTTGTTTAATTTCCCAAGTACATCCATGGAAATCTCTTGCTTTCAATATTCTTCTCCGAATTGTAGTCCCGAGGAAGAGGACGACATGGCTGCCAACTGTCTTATTCTCCTCGCCCAGGGCGGCGGCGGCTCTCATCAGAGCGCGATCAAAGCCGCCGCCCGGAAGTTCTCCGATATGGCGGCGTCCGGAGCCGCCGCCATCGACGCGTACCTCTACGAGTGCAAAACTTGCAACCGGGCGTTCTCGTCCTTCCAGGCTCTGGGCGGGCACAGGGCGAGCCACAAGAAGCCGAAGCTCGTGGTGGATCTTCAGCATCACGATCACCCCCACCCCGCCACGACCGCCGTTAGGAAAGAGATCCCGCCGCCAATCTTAGCCTGCCCTGAAAAGGCTCCGAAGATTCACGAGTGCTCTATATGCGGGGCGGAGTTCTCCTCAGGGCAGGCTCTGGGCGGTCACATGAGGAGGCACAGGCCGGTTGTTGCGACCAACGCCGCCCCCGTCACCAGAGACGTAGGGACGGAATCGTCAGTAAATCACGACTCCGTCCCGAGAGGCGGTCTGGATCTCAACTTACCGGCCCCACAGGAAGAAGAGGATGAGGAAGGAAATAGTAGCAATAATAATAATGCCAACAACAAGTTTGAATTCTCGGGCAAGCAACAAAGTCTTGTCTTCTCCGCCCCACCTTTGGTGGACTGTCATTACTAGAGCTAATGGTAGTGTGCTTAGTCGGGGATTATATTAATTAGTGATTAAAAGGGACCACCCTATAATTTAATAAACCATATGCATCGTCAAATGTATTGTGTATAAATATACCATTTATAAATGATTTGTTACAAATATTAAACAGCAAATTTTAGGTGTGTTATTAGCATTAATTAATGTTAATTGGTTATAACAGTGTTGGGATTAATTAGTTTACGTCATAAATATTATATAATATTCTTTGAGTTGATCCAATGTTGTTTGATCATCTACTTTTTGTACAAAAAAAGAGAGAGAGAGTTGTTTACACTTTGAGTAAGTGGTTAGTGTTCATGGGTTACCTTTCATTGACGAAAAGGCAGTGATGGCTGATTAGGCATCTTTGTTTATACACTCCATATCCCTTAGCTTCCAAATAAACCTTTGTATTTGATTTCACATAATTTAAGAGGATGTTTAATTTAAAAAAACACAAAAAGTGTAATTGAAGTTTGTTCAAAGAAAAGAATAATTTTTGAACTACAAATTTCATTTCTTAATTAAAAAATAAAAATGTGAAATAGGACTAAATAGGACTAAAACATAATGACTTTCTCAATATAGGACCATATGTTTTTATTTTCCAATGTAGGACCATTAGTCATTATCTATTAGTCATTATTCAACTAAATGTCCAGCATCATTTGGACATTATTCTTCTCACTAGTCATTATTAAGTCCTATTTAAGAATAAAAAATTTTAAGTCCTACATTAGAAAATGACTTGTGTTTTAGTTCTATTCAATGCAAATTTCACCAATTAAAAAAGGAAAGTGTGAAGTTTATTTTGATAAGTCACGAATACATGTTTTTAAGACTAAAAGAGTTTTCTCCTCTGCTCATTGATAAAACTATATACGGCATGCTAAAAGGGTGAGTTGAATTTAAATAGAAATTTGATAGTAATTGAAAATAGGTTTCCCAATTATATCATGATGTAAGTGTATCATTAACATTAATTCATGTGCTCAGCTCCCTCCCTTCTAGAATAACCGTCACAGTTACTAGCTATTTGAGTAATCTGATAACTTTTATTTACTTAGTATATTTTTATTTATAATTTGGTAAAATAAAACATATTCTATTATAATAATTTTGATGTAGTTACGATATATGTATATTGTAATTTTTGTTTCTATATTAATTTATAAAATTAAAGAATAAAAAAAAGAGATGAAATTTTATACATTATTCAAAGTAAGCAATTTTTTTTGAAGGAAAGAATATTTCACTGATATGTAGTTATGTACTAAATTGATTGTTTGTGAAATAAATTGTGTCAAATTTGGTTTGACCAATAGGTATCTACCACAACAACAAATAAACTCAGAAAGATTCCACTTAAAAATAGGGGAGAGTGCAAGTAGAGCTCGCAAATCGGTCGGTCAGGTCGGGTTCAGGTTCGGTCACTTCGAGTTCTGGTTATTTTGGGTTCGGGTCAATTCGGGTTCGGGTTGAGAACTGTATGTTCATGACCCATTGTCATCGGGTTCGGGTCGACCCAACGGGTTATGACTTTGGTTTTTTAAATTTTTAAATTAACATTAACACTTACATTTTCTATTTAAATAAATTTAAGATATCAAAATAAATGTATTAAATATATTAGATTATTTTATTTTAAATTCTGAAGTAATTTTTAGATATATAAATCAATATAAGGAATTTAAAAGATGCTTAAGTTTTGGAAAAAAGTAAGATAATTATGCAATATCGTTAAAATTTTGTCTGAAAATATAAATTTATACACTAAAATGAGTAGTAAAGTGTATGATTTTAAAAAAATTCTTACTTTAGCAGGTCGGTCAGGCCAGGTCGAGTTCGGGTTCGCTTGAGTTTGACACATTTTTAGCGGGTCATTTTGGGTTCAGTCAACTTCGGATTCGGTCATCAAAACCTTTGTTCAAAACCCAATATTTTCAGGTCGGATTTCGGCTCAAAAACAGGTCGGGTCATTTTTTGACAGGTGTAAGTGCAAGTGTAAATCCTATCCGTGAAGCAAAGAGAGTAGTACCACTTTACCATGATTCATAATTAATTGAATATGGATGAAAATAACAAATCCTATATTAGCAAACGAGGTCACTTCTAATTGAGATGCCAAAACGGGTTGACATTCACGGTAGTCGATTTTGAAGTCAAAATTTTTTTAACTGTAAAGTTAAATAAATTTGTGAGTAGCAATTGATAGAATAACGGGTCAGAGTGGAGAAATTTATCATAAAGCTAAGATTTAGAAATCATCAATTTGACAATAGAATAATGCAAGTGCTCTAATTAGAGTGTCATTGGAAGACTCTAAAAGACAATGTCAGCCAATAATCTTCTTGCTTAGCAAAGAGTGGAGGGGGAGTATATATTAAATTTATGGAGTGAGTAGGAGAGCAATTCAATATATGTACGTGTAAGACACATCACATTGACGCTTCAAAGAAAGAAAGGGCGATGGAGTTAAAATAAAATATGGGTGCGTATTAGACTATACAACTAACCAAGTCTCTCTCTCTCTCTCCATCTCTATGGGTGGGAAGTGGGAACAATAATAATAACTTAGTTGATGCATACATACATAGTGAGAAGAAGATCGAGTAGTGTGTGAGTATTGCTTTTATTTATGTCCATTTCAATTGGTAACACTCTCTTTACCCGTTTGGTAATTTGTATAGAACTTCTTCTCTGGCTTGTAATTGAGTTAATAACATTAAAAAAATGGTCAGATTTTAGTGACACCGGAGAACGGTGCCACTCCGGTGCCACTGGGTTTTTGGGACACCTCCGGTGCTCCGTTCGTAAAATTGACGGTTTCTACCCCCTAACCCACCCCCTAAACCCTCCACCCTACCCCCACTCCTACACCCCCACCCCACCGTAACCCCCCCACAAAATGTGTGGCTATTATGCATTACATAATAGCCACACATTTTGTGGGGGAGTTACGGCGGGGTTGGGGTGGGGGTGCAGGGGTGGGGGTAGGGTGGGGGGTTTAGGGGGTGGGTTAGGGGGGGTAGGAACCGTCAAAAACCTGGTGGCACCGCTAGTGGCACCGTTCTCTGGTGTCACTAGAACCGGACCGTTAAAAAATATCTAACTTGTATTCTAAGGGCCTGTTCTTTAGAGCTTGAACTCTTAACTTCCAGTTTCTTCTAGTTACTTCCAGTTCTTTCCAATTTCTTTCAGTTCTTCCAGTTTTTTCCAGTTCCTTCCAGTCTCTTCCCGTTTTTTCCAATTTCTTCTAATTTCTTCCAATTATATTTATTTTCTTCAAATTCTTTATACTTTCTGACAAATTACTCTAAAAAATAATAATAATATTATTATTATTACAAATTTTTTAATTACAACTTTTATGTTCATAACTATAGTTTATAAATTATTTCATTTTTTCATCTCACTATGTTTATGATTCACATTCATTATTATTTTTTGTCAACTTTTTAATATGAATAATACCATTTTTTTGTATATTAATCTACATGAAAAATTAGGAAACTATTTAAAAATTATGGATAAATAGTTATATAGAATATTTTTAATCCAAATTTATACGGAGTATAAGGTAAAACATAAATATCTTAATCTAAAATATAAAATATGGAATGTGGTGGGGAGTACTACATTAAAAACCAAGAGAAAACTACATTTTGAAAAAGAAAAAATGACCCAAGAAGTGTAATTTTTATGCTAATTTTATATTCTAATTATTTTTTTTAAACTAGCTTTTAATATATGAAAAATAATACTCGTAATATTTTTTATCTTAAAGACAATCATTAAGATAACGTGATAACACCACCACTACCACCACCACCAACAACAACAACAAGAATAATAATAATAATAATAAATTATAACAAAAAGAATCAGAATGAGAATAATATAAAATCACACATAATATTTATTTTAAAACTTTTTTTTAGACTTTTCAATTTTTTCTAGTGTTTTCAGTTTTTCCAATTTCTTCCCGTTTCTTCTAGTTTCTTCCAGTTTTTTCTTGTTCCTTCCAATTTCTTCCAGTTCCTTTCAGTTTTTTCCAGTTTTTTCTTAAATCCAGTTCTTTTTTCCAATGCTAAAGAACATGCCCCTAAGTGCATAGACAAAATTGTCTATGCATGATACAAATCATTTTTGTCTTTGTAGCTAGCGGTGCAAGTTGGTGTGCAAAGAGCATGTCTCTATGGTTTTATTTTACAAGATTTGAAAAAAGTATTGAAAACTTAAATGAGTTAGGAGAAAGAGAAGTTTAAATATATTTTGGACATCCTATAAAAAATGTAAAGTTTTTAATTAGAGGGATAAATGAATGTTAGAATCTATCAAAAATTGAAAAAAATATAACATGTTTATAAGTTTTGAGGTCAACTAGTAATTGAGACTTCAATTCTCTCACACACCAGAAAAAATAAAGAATACTCAAATATATGTTCCATGGTCTCTCATCCTCTCGCCAACTAGTTTTAATATGGAACCCTCATGGACTTGTGTGCTAGGGCTATCTCTCAAAATGCGCACGAACAAGCGTGTCCCCCCCTCACATTATGATTGGCACATCAAACTTTTATCATGATATCCAAGCCAATTTCGCCCCATGCCACCTCATTTGTTAAGGTTCCTTTGGTTAGTTTAACTCTATTGCTTGTCTAGAAGTCTATACCCAGTGGCCGTGATCCTTTAGTTCTTGGGGCTAAAAAATCAGGGGATGAGAATCCTTTCGGAAGTGGTCAACCAGTTAGATTCAAAATAATTCGGTTGTCCAAATCAAAAAATTGAGAAGAATATAATAGGTTTTATAAGTTCTTGAGTTGAACTGGTTAGTGGTTAATTGATTTGATTGAATCTTTTTATATAGTTCAACTCAAGTGTCTTATGGCTCAGTCCAATGCTCCTTACCCGAATTCTAAGTTCTCTCATGGTATTGAAGTAGGTTCGGTGTGAGTTTGAACTCCTAGTCTATTGCGCTGGCCGGCTACAAGACAAGAAAAAAAGTCAAGCGCAACTTACAAGAATGTGAGGTCAGACAGTTTCATTGGAAGGAGGGGAGTGTTGAGAGTTTTGAAATGCACCCCTTCTATCCCACAATGAATTGCATTCTTTACTATTCAAAAATTACGTGAAAATTT